TCTACCCACTGCTGAAATTATCGGCTGGGAATTTTTATTTTGTGTTTGGCTGTTTTAATTGGAGAGGGTGGCTATGACCAGTGTAACTGACACCGTCCTCAGGTAGAGAAGAGGCACCTCACCCAAGGACTTGCGAATGGTCAGGTGCACTTCAATCTGGCCACGAAGATTTCAAGGGAGGCTGGGCTTTGGCACTTCTCACTGCCCACGTCTACTTTTGTAGAAGCGTCAGAAGGTATTCTTCACCCCTTCAGTCAGGTGGTATGAGAATCCACTCATGTAATGCACAGTGTGTGTGCCAAGGAGACCAGTGAATTCACATCTCTAATGATCACTGCTACATACAAATGCTGTAAAACAGCAAGTGTGGTAAATTAGCAGAAATATCAGAAAAGTGTGGAAGAGGGGGAAAAAACAGAATGTGAGTGTCTAGGTCCACAAAAAGCCTTTAAGCAATGCATTAGCAAAACGGAACTGCTAAGCCCTCAACAAATAGTGGAACCCGATTGTTAAAGCAGCTGGCAGGTCATCTTCATGCTGGTCACCAGCGTGCACCATCTCAAACCAATGCCCTTTGCTCGAAGCCCCAAGAAAGTCTTCCCTTCCTCATTTGTGGCTTTTCAATTTTCAATTTATAACAACTAAAAACAGGAGGCAGCAGGTCCTCATTCACAATAGAACGTGTCAGTACTGGAAGGGAGCCATGACACCGGAAATGAAAAGCTACTTCATAGTTCAGAGGGGAAAAGACCGCATCGCAGCTCTGTAGTACATTTACGAACCTATAGGAGCGCCTGTACCTGAAGGAACGTCGCCCTTAAAAAAGTTACTCGTGCTGGATGCTTGCTGCTTCTAGGGCAGCTTTCTGTGTCCTGTTATATTTGACGTCCTGTGAGCAATGGCACAATTATCCGAATAAATGTGAGAATGTGGTTCTACAGGATATGAAATGGGACATCTTCCTGGGGTACCAATTTTTCTCAAAGATATGAGGAAAACAGTGCTTTTAAATATTAAAATAAATATGGATTAAACAGAAGAAACTTCTGCATGTACTCACGCACTTTTAACTGAAGACCCAGTAATACAGAGATAACTTCTTGGAGAAAAATGATTTGAATATTTAAATCGTGGTGGTGTAGGTCCAGTTGTAGCTCAGTTTTCATTTTCTGATGAGGTGACTGTGCAACGTAACAAACAAAAGTCACAGAGGAAAGACAGCCGGATGACGATGTGGCGGGAGCGCATCTTGAGTGACCGGCTGCTTGTTGTCGCACATTCTAACTGAGCGCAATTCTTTCCTAAGAGGGCAAAAAGT